AAACAAGTTCACCTGATTTTGGACATATTTACAGTTAAAATAGTTTTAATTAACCATATGAATATGAGAAAGAATACTTTGAGTTTTGGGGATTTTTGGTAAATATTTTAACAAAAGCGTCCTACTCCTAAAGAAAATGTCTTTCTATAGGTGAATTGCTGTAATCWTTCACATTTTTATCATATCACTGAGTAGCTCACTGTTAAGATAGCCATATTAAATTTTACTTTCTCATGAGTCAGATGATTCACCAAATAAAAGTAATATAATTTTGTTCTTTTCAATTTTATTCTTTTCCATGTCCATGTTTCATAAAAATACTTGATGCCTGAGTGACTTGGTACCAATGATAAAAAGGGTATGTAATAAAATATGATATTAAGAAAATAATAATGAGAAGTTTGACTATCTGAAGGCTCAAGCTTAAACAATAACAGCATATTACAAAATTCTGCAAACAAGCTTATAGATTTTGTGTGATCTTACTGATATAGTACTTATTAGTGGAATTAACTTATTCAGGATCAATATACAATAAAGAAAAATCATCGAGAATCCATTTTAAAAATCTGTCAGGAACCATCAAGCAACAACAAGAATTGCTTAGACTAAACCCCAGCTTAAAGATAATTATTTTATGTTACCTGTTTGCCCACATTCTGCCATATCAGTTTCCAAAACTAAAGATATTTGAACACATTGTCACTTATTTAAAACTTTTATTTTGAAGTAGAACTGGTTATGGAACTTTTTTCTGATTTTCTTTAAAAATATTAAAATTTGGGGCACAGGAGAGAGTGTCAAGTTGCTCAAGTTGAGGGTTGATTTTTATCTATTCTATGGCTGTGGGTCTTCAAAAAAGGAAGCTATGAAATAGGAAGTTATAGCCAGATGATTTTTTTTTTGTTCCTAAATTGTACTAAATTGTATCCTAAATTGTCTTTATTATAGGGGAAAAAAAGCATTTGCAATATTAGTAAAGGATAAGTGAGTTATGTTTAATCAATTCTCCAAAAAAGACCATGTTGGCTTTCAAGTAAAGATTTTTGAACATWAAGATGGGCCAACCACTTTCTCATGAGAGAAGACATGACTTAGAGGTTAAAACATGACTTTAAAACATAACTTAGAGTTGAGATGAGCAGACTGAGTGAGATCCAGAAGCCCAAACGAGGATGAAATCAAAGGAAAAGGGAAGAATGTTGTGGTCGGCAGGAGGGARCTTCAGGAAGCCTTCATGGCAAAAGGAAATCCTGGATCAGAAAYAAGGGTTCAGGTGGCAGGAACCAGGAATTTGGGCTGTGTAAAGAACAAACAGGCAGGGGACAGGAACAAGGCACTGAKGTGAACTCGCAGCCAAAACGCAAGATATGTTGGCGGAAAAAAATTGCAGCTAAATCGAGCGTATTGTGCCCTTCTTCCGAAAAAAAAAAAAAAATCAGGTTTATACCAAGTAGCATGCTGAAGGACTCAAATGGCTTTAAGAGTTAAATTTTTTAATATAGCAATTACATAATTTATATACCTATTTCATGGGGGGAGGAGGGGGTGATTTTTTAGGAAAATACTTGTGACTCTATTGAGCAGRTGAAGCCTAAAATGAKGGTTGTGTATTTTTAATTATATTAYGTTTGCAAGTACTGGTTTTCATTCATGSTTTATTAAATAGTTAGAGGATTAAATAAGTGTATATATACATATCAAATCCCTCAAAGGAAGACAAAAGCACAGAAATCTGTCCCTTGATGGTTCTCCAAATCACCAAGTTCCCTATTGCTTTCCTAATTTCTGACAGYGTAGTTTTGTTCCAGGGCTCACCATGACTGTGCTTCAAACAGAAGTGTGCTTAATAACTTTGTGGTTATGGATTGATCTTAGAAGATAGGAAATTTAAATTTAATCATCTGCAGCATAAAAAGAAATCTTAGTGTAGCCTTTAGTTCTTAATCAACTCTCTCAGCCCTTCAAGCTATTTCATCCAAGGAACAATCCATTTTTTGAAAATGGTCAGTTTCCTTGTTCCTGTGTCGCCTTCAATTTCAGAATCACTCTTCAGCAGAGAATTCTTGGAATGTTGGACATGGGGTGGGGATTTGGGTTTTTTGGGATTGAGGTTTTTGGGGTGGCTTTCTTTGGGTTTTTCATTTGGTTTGGGTTGGGTTGAGGGTTTTTTTTTGTTCTTTGCTCTTTTTGTTTGTTGGGTTTGGGCCTTTGTAGCTCCTCTCCTTTTTGTTATTTCATTTTCTTTGTTGTCTTTTGTGTGTCAGGTTTTTTTATCTAACCTGAACACTATCTAGAAACCCAGACTTTGCCTCTTGATGAGTTATTTTCACTCAGTGTTTATCAGTTTTACCAGATCCCCTCTGTGAGGAACTGATTTCTCTGGCATCACCCAGCTCTGTGTGTTTTATTTAGGGCAAAGAATAAGAATCTGCCTCAACAYTAAGACCTAACTTTATATGACAAATCAGGAGCAATATGTGATGATTTTACTGTCCATTATTAATTTACATTTAAAAAACTTCCTCTTTCCTTATGTAGGTAGGTGAAAAAAATTGGAATCTGATAACAGGASAGCTTTTCTATATGAGCCTTTAATGCCTTTATGAGCAACTACTTAAGGAACTCTTTCAAAATTTAAAATTTTAAATTTTCTAGTGCTATTTACTTCTTTTCATCAAAATATAATCAGCTTTAAAAGGAAATGTACGTTTTTAAGAAGGAAGGAACACACCAGATGATATAAAAGTGTGGTATCAAAGTGTGGTGTTCACATCCAGGAATTGGGCATAATCTACCCAAAATTGTAGGAACGACCCTTAATTAAATATTTGACATCCGCACATTCAATCAAATGAAATAAAAACATGAAAATATATAATTCTGTAGAAATTATTATTTAACAATTCCTTAAGAATGTTTTTTTTTTTTTATTCTTTAACATAGTATAGTTCATTTTTTTTCAACTAAACACGTCAGACATGATGCAATGAACAATCTTTCCTCATTCATCAAATATGACATATTTGTTTGAACTGGTGGGACTCTAGGTGCTGAAATTACTGGAAAAGATCTTTGTAACAGCCAAGTAACAAAGATAATAATTAAAAACTTCTGTCTTTCTKCTCTGATCATTGCTGATTGTTCCATGGGGATGGAATATGAGGATTGTTTTAAAAGTATGTGGCACTCTAAACTCAGTTTATTTGTTCCATCACCACATTGCCAGTATGAAATATTCTGGGAAGCTGTGCATTTTCTCCTACATATTTCAACAAGAATGGTAAATTAAAAAAAAAAAAAAAATCTTGAGAAGATATTGTCTTTACATAGAAAAGGTTTTAAGAGGATAAATTACCACCTGCACCTCACCAAAGTGAGAGATAGTTCATATGTTCACTTCATGTTTTTTAGTTCACAGTGACCTTAATTTTTTCTTCCCCCATAAATGTGCTAGCCTGTATAAAATGATGAATAACCAGATAAAAATGTAAGGTTAATGGGCTTTGCTTAAAAGGGCAAATAGGGAACTGAAGAATCTTGTTAAATTTTATAAATACGTATAAAGAATTTAATTTAGAACTTAGCAKGTCTGTTCTTTGGTCATTTCCCTTGGCAGGTTTTATTTCTTGTACTATAAGCTGTTACTCCTTTTTTCATCTCTAATTGAAAAAAAAATTCCGCTAACTCTGAATTTTATTATTCCAGTATGTGATATCTTTATGAACGAGAAATAGTAAAACATGAGGGGTTAAAAAGAAGCCCAGAGATCCACTGCCATCATTAAATTTAATATAAAAATCTGAAATTTTTCTGTTTCAAACAATTCAAACTAGACTTCACATTTAGCTGTCCCTGCATTTCTTTTCACAGCAATGGGAAGATTATCCTATTCACTGTATTAAAACTGAGTTTTTGAACACAGATTCCTGGAAAATGCAAAAAAAATCTATTTGAAAGCACAAAAGTTACATAAACTACCAAACATCAAGCAACTTAATTGACAGAACTGAATTCTGCTTGTTCTGCACAAAGACATCTTGCACAAGATTTAGACATTTTAGTAACATTTTCTTTATTTTGTGGATGCCAGCACAAGGCACGTTTGCATTTTGGGGACAGGAGAGATTCAGTAAAATAGCAAGGAGCAGGAATTCAATTCACTTTGCCCACAAGTGGTTTCCCATATTATCTACCATGTTATCTACCATATTTACCACATCCTCCACCCTATTTCAAATATTTAACTGAAATGGTGCAGCCCTTCGAGTCAACGATGTATAAAACCCTAACATTCCTACTCCATGCAGAATAAATGAAAATATGGAGACTGAGAATTTTAATTATGATGCATCAACATTCTCCCTCTGCCTGTTTATGGTGACTGAAAAATTCTGCATCACATTTGAGAAAAAAAATCTGATATCAGACTCTAAGGTGACTACACTGAAAAACACAGGGGAGTTTTACACCTGCAGTGTTTGACAAAGAGGAACTCAAGTGAAATTACCCACCTTTTCTGTCTTTGGAATGTAATGAAATTTGCTGGCTTCTAGATTGAGTTATTAGKTTCAATTTGCCCACTAAGTCATGCACAGGAAGGGAATTTTTTAGGTGGTTAAACAACCTTGTCAATTAGATGTTTAATGAATTAAGATGAACTGAGACACATCCTTAACTGGCATCTGTTGATAAAGAAGTAGCTACATTCCAAGTTGCAAGGATCACTACTGATTACTCCATTAGAATTACTTCAATCTGTTTGTTTTAAGGTCAAACTGTGACTTTTGGCCCTGATGTCCTCTGGAAGCCATAATGGAAGACCCTAAGCAAAACTTTAAATTATATTTTATGATGGGACATAATAAAATATCTTCTTTTTTTTTTTTTTTTTTTTTTTTTTTTTTTTTTTTTTCCTTTTCTAGTTATTTTAAACATGTGCTTATTTACTTTTATCATTTCTCTGTTAATCCTGGCATCATTTTGTGTGATTCCTGCAGATGTGAATGAATGTGAAGCTGAACCCTGCAAGAATGGTGGAATCTGCACAGATCTTGTTGCCAACTACTCCTGTGAATGTCCAGGTGAATTCATGGGAAGGAACTGCCAACAGAGTAAGTACAGCATGGTTTTTAATTTTTTTTTTTGTCATAAAATATGATGCACGTTTTTATTTTTACAGGGAAAGAAGGAAAAGCTTTCATATACTGTGGAAATAYTTCTCTACAAATAAAGAATATTCAAAATAGTGTTGTTACTCCTTTTAAAATGGAGTGAATTTCAGAGATTAAATCTATTCAGACATCCAAGCATCTGATAGGATGGAAACATTTAGAAAATGCAAAATCATTACCTACAGGCAAACAAGAAATCAAATAGTATAAAGTAGAAAAATACAAAAAAAAATTATTCAGGCAGGGGTTTCATCTCACCAATATCCTGTATTCAGTAATTATTAGCACATATCAACAAGTGTAAGAGCAGGGCAAAAATAAATGTTACTTGCTCTGACATGTCTCTAGACTCTGAAATTTGGACCACTGGTTTGTGGRGAAGTCACTGATAGAATTAATAGTCCTTAGAGGATTTGTACTGGGAAAAATCTCACATGATTTTACAATTACATTAATTGTGAATGCACCATAAACATCTGATTCTGACTGCTACAAAGAAGTTCCCCATGTATGATACAGTAATTTTGAAGACCAAAAAATAACAAAATAAAATAAACTGTTTTGGCACAAAATGTTATATATCTTAACATTTGGATATAGTTATCTAAACAGTTAGATAGACAGAGGCTCTTTAGTTTTAAATACATCATGTAAACGTGAAAGCCTGTGTTTTTTTAGTCAAATAAAGGATGCAAAAATTGTCATAGTGTGGAAAAAGCTAATATAGYTCTGAGATACAGTGCCTTAAAAAGAAGCAGGAAATTATTTGGCAATTAGCATTAATGGTGTTAGATATTATATTCAAAATTACTGAAAGGCTGGGCTGATCTACATTCAAAAAAAAGGAGTTTGTGGTGTAAGGAAAATCCTAGAATGTGTAGCAGAAAAACAGGTGTTACAAGTTGAATACTAAATAAATTAAACCATAACAAAGCTGAAAAATATTGTTCTTTTTCCTGCATTTGCATTGTGGATATATGGGGGAGAATAGAGAGGAAAACAGGATAGACCAATAACCACAAATATTTTCTTTATGTAGTTTCTGTGAATTCTCAGATTGATGTGCCACAGGAAAAA